TTTGTTTTCGTCTAAGATTTTCGTTACAAAGTCTATTCCCGTACTGTCCTTCTTCACAAGATTTTCCGAGCATTTTCTTATCCAGGCCACTTCTTCCAATACGCCCACAGGCTCTCCTTCTTCAATCGTAATTTCTGAATCACTGAAGTTGAATACCGGAATGCGGTTAACATCAGATGACCCCACGACAGTTCTTGCCGGTAGCCATGAATTCACGTGTTCCGATTTATCAATCACAGCGCACCTTCGAGGTAAACTTCCTTCCCTCCTCCTAGGTAATGCGATTGGTACGAGAGTCTGTGATTTTGGTGCAAGAACAGTTCTTCTTAAACAGCAAACTTTTCCCAGGGTTCCACCCTTCATCGGAATTTCCTCAGTTCCACATAGTAATACTCCAGATTTTAAGTCGATGTTACACTGGTGCCCTTGCAGGAAGTCAAGTCCCAGGATGCAGTCATCCAGAATTCTGGCCACAATAACCTCATGTCGATAAACACGTTCCCCAATTTTGATTGTTACATGCAGTTTTCCACTTATCGGTATGCACTGGCCGGTAGCTGATTTCATTTGTAGGCCAACTGATTTCATTTGTAGGTTTAAGGTGTTTCCTGATGTTTTGCTCGAGCAGCCGAACATTTATCACCGTCCTTGAAGCTCCAGTATCTAATGTTAGCTGACTGTTTTTCCCATTTACTTGACCGTCTATCACCAGGGTATTTCCATCGTTAGTTTGCTTGATGTAGATTGTTGGGGTTATTCCACTACCAGCCAGCGCCCACCCCGCAGCCTTGGCTGGATTTAAGTTTCCCTGCTGGTCAGAAGTTGAGACCGCCGCGTCCTTGCGGTTCATCTTCTTCGGGCAGTCGCTCCGTATGTGCCCACGCTCTCCACATCCATAGCACATGAAGTTCCGACGGCCTGGAGGTACCTGCTCCGTTGTCGTCATTTCCCGCAGACGTAAGGTACGGGAGTTGCCACGCACGGCTTCCACTTCCAATGCATGGGCCAGAGCTTCTTTCATGTTCTTGTTATGGCCCAGATGAACAGCAGCTCGTACTTCGGGGTCCCGAATACCGTCAATGAACGCTTGGAGAAGCGTGCCTTCAATCATTGACGGAGTCGACCGGAAAGCTCGACGCACAAGTTTCTCGATTTCCACGGACCATTGCTGTAGACTCTCATTATCACGCTGAGTACGCTCTTTTAATTGCGCTCTGTACACGTGCTCGAGGTGGCTGTCTCCAAAACGTGCCTCAAGTGCGTCGAGGAGGGCACTAAAGCTGAGATCTCCACTTGCGCCGATAGCTTCCAGCACTGAGAGCGCTTGATCACGGAGGGCCAGGGTGAGGGCTGACTGTGCTTCCTTCTGAGTCCAACCATAAGCCTCCATAAGTGTCTCAAACTGTAGCTTGAACGCGGTCCAGGATGTTGTTCCGTCGTAATGGGGAATCTTGAGCCCTTTCGTTGCGCTTAAGGCCGCATTTGGGGCGTCAAAAACGGCTGCAAGACGGCTTCGGCTCTTTAAAGGGCTTGGGTTTGTCACTTCCTGCTTGATTTTGGAGATCTCTTCTTCCAATCTCTCCTCTATCGCCATGACGCGATGTTCCAACTTGCCTAAACCTTCCTCCACTTCTTGTACCCGTTTGACAGCCTTTTGCAGTCCCTTCGTGAAATCTTTATGCATGTCTTCCAAGCGACGCACTTGCTCCTCTTGGCGACGAGCTTGATCTTCTTTCAGCTCCCGCAGCTGTCCTGACTGACAGCGTGCTTGCTCTTCTTGGCGGCGCGCTTGCTCTTCTTGGCGGCGCGCTTGCTCTTCTTGGCGGCGCGCTTGATCTTCTTTCAGCTCCCGCAGCTGTTCTGCCTGACAGCGTGCTTGCTCTTCTTGGCGGCGCGCTTGATCTTCTTTCAGCTCCCGCAGCTGTTCTGCCATCATTTGCTGCAGCTGTAGCAGAAGATCCACCTGCACAGGCTTGGCTTCTGCATCGCTGGTTTGAGCTGCAGCACCCTCTTCTCTCACACGCTGCGCTTCTGACATAGCACGGGTACTCACTCCTCTTACGTCCTGCGGCACTAGCGGCATTTTTCTCCAATCCCACTTCTGACACCAAATGTTACGTGCCTGACGTCACGTTCCTAACTATGCGGGCTTGGGTTACGGGATTGGATGAAATTAAACACTAATACCGGTTTTCAGACTTTCTATTGCACTTAAGTGACAGCGTCCACGGATACGGATAAGTTATCGGCGTTCCTCTCCAGCAGAGTCCGGCCGACTGACACAACTTTGCCGTTCACTGTTCACGCTGACTTAACTCACTTAACTGACTGCACTTCACTATTTCACTGTACTTCACTATTTCACTCACTTTTCTTCTTTTCACTTCTTCCTTTTCTTCCGAATCGCTTTGGACTTAGAACTCAACTGCCAGCGGTGAGCCGCAGTTCCGCTTATATACCCCTGGTCAGGTTCTAGAACATTCAATTTCGTTATTCTTTTTGATCGTCATGCCTCCAGAACCTTCCAATAATTTCGTTATTCATTTTTATTTATTCTCCTTCTCGCTCCTTAATTTTTCATTACTTTCACTCAAATATTCCAGAAAGTTCGACAAAACTTCCATCAACTAAAAAACTTCATGTTTACGGCGGGTCTCGAACTCGGGGTCTCTGTGGTGTAATCCACACGCCTTACCGATTACACCAACTCGTGTTGACAATTCACGACGAAATTTACAATCTCTAGGCAACGTTTGACAACCATCCATTGACGTCATGATGTCAAAGAGTTTTCTGTCACAATATATACATAGCCTATCGAAATCATCATAACCCTTCTTTTGCTTTGCCGTAGTCGGGTAATAAAAGACTTAGTAGGTTTTGACTAGATTATTTATTTACCTATTAGTTAACAAACAACATTAATTTATTGGGTAGGTACCTAGTATTTAAAAAAATAACTTACAAAACCATAAAAATACCTACAAAAATCTCATGATATATTTAATATTCGTATTATTTTTATTATAACTTTCGTGAGACATTCTGAATTATTTATTATGTTTTCGGCTTACTCACGTAATAATTTGACGAGATACTCGACTAGTTTCAAGCCGTGCTAGAGGCCCATATTCATGTCGCGCTGCTACACAGTAGCAGCGCGACAGTCGTCGAGTCGCGTGTCGCGGAATGCTGCTCATGAATATGGTCCTCTAGCATGGCTTGAAACTAGTCGAGTATCTCGTCAAATTATTACGTGAGTAAGCCGAAAACATAATAAATAATATTCGTATTTTTTTGTTAATTCACAAATACTATTATGGCTTCATTGAACTTAACAATGTTACGATAGATGTCGCTGTACTAAATTAATCTTTATTTAGTTACCAGCATACAAAATGGCTGTGCACAATAATTCAGATGATATACAAATTAAGATATGTTAAACAATTTGAACACTAAATACATCTATGCAAAAATATACCATTCTAGACTAACAATTTTATTAAGTGGTCGGCTTGACCGGAGTGATAGCACGGAAATCTGAACTTATTAAATCGAATAAATTTGAAATCGACAATCTGCCTTGAGCAAGCTTGGCGATTAATGTTCAAACCTTTTCCGTGTGAGAAGTGATCTTTGCTTAATGCTCAGCATTGGGGACTCGTAGGCTGATGATAATGACAAAGAATTTGGAATATTTTTGCATAGTTTCTTACAACTCTTTGTTAGTATTTGGCTAAATAATTAATTAATACTTATATATTTCGCTACACACATCTAAATAACTATAGATATCAGAAGGCCCTTCTGAGGTTTTAAGACGGAGCGCGCGTGCACTTGGCGCCGAAACAAACAACGCCATTTTAAAAAAGCGCCATTTTTTATTTTGTGCTTCTCCTAATTTGTATAATGTAGAAATAAATACTTATCCATTGTTATAATTTAATACAAAAGTGTACTTAAGTAATCTAAAATTAATTCTAAATAATTATTTTGCTACTACAAATAAAAATGCAATCATAATACAAATATGTACGTGGTAGTTCTGCCAGCGGCTTAATAATACCAGTGTAAAAAAAGTAACCTATGTTATTCCAGACTATAATCTATCGCAGTGCCAAATTACATACAGATTCGTTCAGTAGTTTTTCACTTTAACGAGTAACAAACATCCATTCGTACTTACAAAGTTTCAAGTTTATAATATGAGACAGATTTTGGTATTGTCATTACAACAATAAAATTCGTAAAAAAAATACCTACGTCAAAAACTACAACAAATTTTCCGTCATTCGTACAAATAAAATATAAAATTAGAGAGTGCTCTTAAATCTCTTTAAATTCCCTGAGATTTTTTTAAGCCTAAGTGCGCATTTCTGTTACCGTACTCGAAATTTTTTGTTTAGTAATGTGGTGGCATTGAGCCTTCTGAACACCCGATGGTAAGCTATCGGGGGAGCCTGTGGACACCCGCAACACCTGAGGAGTTTCCAGTGAAGAGCCAGTCTTTATAGGATTTGAGTCTCGAAGATAGGGAGGGAAAAAGAATCACATGTTGTTTCAAAGCGTTTCGTGTCGGCTCAACCAGAATAATGTGGTATCAGTCCGGTCGAGCTAGACTCTAGGCCTCGCAAAATACCGGCGGCGTGAAGCAAAACTTACGTTGTGTTTCGTCTTGAGAATGAGGTTAACGGAGGCCCAATCCTTCCCCTCCCATTCTTAAATCCTCTATCCTTAAATCCCGAATAACCCACAAGACCGAATAACCGGCATCGTACTTGTAGTAACTCCTTTGGTATTACGAGTGTCCATGGGCGGCGCTGATTGCTTACCATCAGGTTGGTAATACCATCAGACAATCGACAGTTTACCGACCTAAGCCATATTATAAAAAAACAGTAATATTCCTTTTTATTTTGTTGCTTTTGAGACCAAAAAATGCGTTCGGACTCTCTTCCAAAGAGCGGCTTCTCCAAGAAGAACCCAACACCCAACCAGGGAAGTTCCAAGCTGATCGTGACACAAAAACCCCTCAGAATCTACATACAAGGATTCAAATCCCCTGTCATATTGATATGGGCACAGGAAACTTTCTGCCCCGTCGGCACAGCAATCCTGAACAACTTTCCTTGGGGCATACAAACACAGATTTTAAACTGCCCAGTCCCCTGTCCATATTTATCAGTCCTATTTACTGAACTGGCGATGGGGAGATACCTAACATCGATAAAAACCCCATCTTTACCGCTTAAAACTATAGAACCGTTGATGGACTTTAAGTAGATGTCCTGGTCTGCGCTCCAGAATAGTTCTTTTGATTCCATATGCGTCCCTTCTGCTCCTCGAAGGTAGGCTGATGCCTCGGAGCGCAGGAGCAGATCCTCGTCCGTTGGGGCTGCTATTCTTTTCACTATTACTTGCTGTAAAGACAATAAGAAGTGTGTAAGGATTGTAGTTGTTGGCGATTTGCAATTTCTGAATGCCAAAAAGTGCGAATGATCGTTTTTGGGATTACTAAAGTGTCTTCCATATCTCGTCTCGTGAAGAATAATGCGAGATGTTGTCGATTTTAAGACTCTGTTTTTGGATCTCTCTTATATTTCTCTCGTATCTTAAAGTGAAAATGTAAGAAAGGCTCGATATTAAATTACTACTAATATTTTACTATTTGCAATTATTGTTAGTGTGACGGAAAAGTGGTTCAAACTCTTTGACATCATGACGTCAATGGATGGTTGTCAAACGTTGCCTAGAGATTGTAAATTTCGTCGTGAGTTGTCAACACGAGTTGGTGTAATCGGTAAGGCGTGTGGATTACACCACAGAGACCCCGAGTTCGAGTCCCGCCGTAAACATGAAGTTTTTTTGTTGATGGAAGTTTTGTCGAACTTTCTGGAATTATTTGTGTAAAAGAAATGAAAAATTAAAGAGCGAGAAGGAGAATAAATAAAAATGAATAACGAAATTATTGGAAGGTTCTGGAGGCATGACGATCAAAAAGAATAACGAAATTGAATGTTCCAGAACCTGACCGGGGGTATATAAGCGGAACTGCGGCTCACCGCTGGCAGTTGAGTTCTAAGTCCAAAGCGATTCGGAAGAAAAGGAAGAAGTGAAAAAGAAGAAAAGTGAGTGAAATAGTGAAGTGCAGTGAAATAGTGAAGTGCAGTGAGTTAAGTGAAAGTCAGCGTGAACTGTGAGCGGCAAACGGAAGTTTGTGTCAGACGCCCGTACTCTGCTGGAGAGGAACGCCGAAAACTTAACTCGGTGGACACTGTCATTTAAGTGCAATAGAAAGTCTGAAAACCGGTATTAGTGTTTAATTTTATCCAATCCCGTAACCCATCCCGCATAGTCAGGAACGTGACGTCAGGCACGTAACATTAGTGAAAGGACTGTCTGAGACTTTTTCGCGCTTTTCGACTGCTAGTTATCTTACGTTCTGACAGTTTGAGCATTTGCCCAACCCAGCCAAATGTTATTTGGTCAGTATTGTTCGTCGGACAACTCAGCAGCACTAGCTATACTGGTTCCAAACTGACACTTGCGTGCCTGTCTTCAGAAAGGGTCCGCTTAAACTGGTCTGGTTCTTTCCTCAAAGACTAGTACACAATGAACATTATTTTTTACACTAGGCCGAGGCCGCGGTACCATACTGCGCTTGCCCCCCAACCCCGGCTAATCATTGGGACATTTTGTTGGGCCCATCTGTGGTGGTGTATTGGCTCTTTGAGGGTGCGGTCGGCGAGCTACCCTTACGCGCTTGCGGTGGCAAACCAGTCTATCTTGATTGAGAATACAAACCTTAGCATGAATGTTCCCAACTCCGTCCGGCACATTCATCTCAGTAGCTGCGGTGCTGAACACCACCTCCCCGGAGTCAGGGTCTGTCAGTTCCATAGCTGATACTCCGCGGACGAATACTCCAGACGTGTTCACTGTCAGCTTGTTCTCGTAGCGAGATGGTCTGCGAATAAATATTAGTTTTTTATTTTATATAGCAACAAATATCCGCCCTCGGCTGATTTAAAAAGAGTAACCATAGAGTTTCGTGCTCGTTTTTCTCCATAGAAATCTACACTTTGGAATCAGCGAATAGCTTTACTAAGATTACTGGCCGACAGACTGGCACTTTATATCTTTAAAATTTTGTTTAGACAGGTTGAGACGCCTGCTTCTCAAAAAACCCGGCCAGAACTAAAGTGAGTTCTCCAAATCATATGTACTTTTTAAGTTTAATTTAGACCTACAGATGAGGGAAAATATGTGAAAAAACCTGAACTTAAATTTTCTAAATATAAGTTTGAAATTACAGATTGGCCTTGAGCAAGCGTGGTGGTTAATGCTCAAACCTTCTCCGTATGAGAAGGGGCTTTTGCTTGGCAACAGCTTTAAACAGTACAAAATCCTGACAATACAACACTAGGATTTTTTTGTAGGTATCGCAAACTTACTTTTTTCTTCGTTATATTTAAGATTATTTAATATGTAAGTAAGGTAAAACAGGGTGAATAGACACAGAAGACGGGTTAATAGATACTAGGAAAATTCACCAACATCAAAAGTGTGGGAGAGCCATGCTTCGGCACGAATGGGTCGGCTCGACCTGAGTGATACCACGGCCTCACAGAAGACCGGCGTGAAACAACCACAGCGTTGTGTTTCGCCGTGTGAGTGAGGTTACCGGAGGCCAATCCTTCCCCGCCCCCAATCCCTCCTCAATCCCTAAATCTCCAAATCCCTAATCCCTAAAAGGTCGGCAACGCATTCGTAACTCCTCCGTTGCGGGTGTCCATGGGCGGCGCTGATTGCTTAGGTAATCAGGTAATCCGTCTGCTCGTTTGCCGACCAATTACATAAAAAAAACTCACCCCGTTTTACGGTACTTACAAAGAGAAAAAAATACTAACTTAGTCTGTAAATTCAGCAGAACAGATCCATTTTCGCTAGATATTGTCAGCGGCGTGTCTTTAAAGCTCTCTATTAAACCATCCTTCTTGTATAGATGCTCAAAATCCGTGTCGCCGAAGAATTTGATAGCGTTATGTTCCGGTAAAAACTCCATACTCTCCATACCTAAAACAAGAGAAAATATGTGTGTCTGTGAAAGAACGATTTAAAAAATAACCCGCTCTACATCTAGTGTAGTATTTTTTTTTGTGCTAAGACACCATTTTGTACGAAATAATAACAAAAGTTAAAAAAAAAAATTTTTGATTATTGAACTTCACGAAGGTTTTAGTCATTTTGAACTTTTATAATTGTTAAAAACGATCCGCTACGGCATCAACTAGATATGATTATAACTCCCATTTCAGTACAGTTGTCCCGTGAATTATTTTGAAATTGGTTTCAAATAATTGACTTGACTGCACGGTTGGTGCGGCGGTTGGGCAACTGGCTGCCGTGGAAAGTGTCGCGGGTTCGATTCCCGCACGGAACAACTCTTTGTGTGATCCACAAATTGTTGTTCCGGGTCTCGGTGTCATGTGTATGTGAAATTGTATGTTTGTAACCACGACACACAACACGGCACACACGACACAGGAGAAAATCCTAGTGCGGGGCAACGTTTTTTTTAAAAACAAAAAAATTTAATTTAATCTGGGTTTTTTCACAAAAATCTAAGACCAAAATCTAAGACCAAATCTAACTCAAAAACTGGGTAATGAAATTCGGTAGAACATTATTTGGTGAATACGTCGAGTTACGAGTAACCCTGGTATAAATTCACATTCAAAAAACAAACAGACACAAAATAACTAATCTATATTAATTTTTTTCTGTAGTTTTTTTGTTTCAACGCTCTAAATCTTCAGAACTATGAGTTTGAATTGAACTACTTACATATGCTTTTTGAGTTCGTTAGTATTTTATCGACGAAGGTTAGAGGCTATAAAACATCACGCTACGATATGTACCTAGGAGCCGAGCAGTGGATGAAAGGACAGTAGCTATTTGTAGATAGCACAACAGATTAACACCTGCTTTCTGAAAGGCTTGTCAACGCTAAAATTAACTAATCTCCTGTTAAATCTCTTGTCAAGTCATCTGATTGATTGTTGATAATTCAGTCAACCAATCAGATGACTTGACAAGAGATTAAATTGATTTTAACATTGATCGGCCTTTCGGAAACCTGGTGTTAGACAAAAATACATCGTATCGTGTTTTGTTTAATAGAATAAAGTAGTTTCTTAAACATGATTATCTATACTTTCATTCATTGATTTTACACACACTTTTATTGGTCAAGAACATACCTAATATTACTTATCTTGATACCTTCAACCTTGATTTCTGCCTGCACAGTTGACACTACAGAAAACAGAAAAAGATTTTTCGGAACTTTTTTCTATTTGCTGTGGTTGACGCTGTGACTGGCCAACAGAGTAACCTAACAACGAGTCGAAACAACTCTTTGTGTGATCCACAAATTGTGTATGTTAAATTGTATGTTTGTAACAGCACCTACGACACAGTGGAAAATCCTTGTGTAGGGAGTGTGATTCTGTAAGACTTCATTCTAAACTTTGAATCTGAATCCGCCGTGAGTAGTAGTACACTAGCGCTACACTTGCGAGTTGAACTAAATTGACAGCAACATTTTGATAGATAAAGTATGAGATGACGTTAAAAGTGACATTCTAAAATTTTATTTCCCCGTTACTTCGACGCTCACTTCGCACTCGAACAAGATTTAAAATCAAACAAATTTTATAGAATCGACGTGCAGCTTTTTTTTAAATAGGAACTACGTAGTGTTAGACAGTTATTCTGTTTTAAAGGCGCATTTTCACATTTCTTCTTCTTTTTTTTTTGGAATAAGTGGCAAACGAGCAGACGGATCACCTGATGGAAAGCGATCGGCGCCGCCCATGGACATCCGCAACACCAGAGGAGTCACAGGTGCGTTGTCGGCCTTTTAAGAAGGAATATGCTCGTTTCTTGAAGGTTTGAAGGCTTCTTCATCTCTGTCGGGCGACATTTACAAGTACCTAATGCAACGTTATCTCTTCGACGACTAGCCATAACGAACAAGGATACAAATTATGAGATATTTTTTTTATGTAATAGGTCGGTAAACGAGCAGACGGATTATCTGATGGAAAGCAATCAGCGCCGCCCATGGACACCCGCAACGGAGGAGTTACGAGTGCGTTGCCGACCGTTTAGGGATTAGGGATTTGTAGATTTAGGGATTGGGGGAGGGGATGAATTGGGCCTCCGGTAACCTCACTCACACGGCGAAACACAACGCTGTGGTTGTTTCACGCCGGTTTTCTGTGAGGCCGTGGTATCACTCCGGTCGAGCCGACCCATTCGTGCCGAAGCATGGCTCTCCCACACTTAAAATTATTTTTTACTAACGACCCGCCCCCGCCTTTATGCGGTTGCAATCTTCGATCATATATTCTGAATATTTGATCGAAGGATGCAATGCTAATACTAAATTCCTCCACTATTTAATTCCTCTTCGATCACTCTCTCTACTAAACGTCCGCATCAAAATCTGTTGCGTAGTTTTAATGATTTAAGCATACATAGGAATAAGGGGACAAAAAAAGCGACTTTGTTTTGTACTATGTAGTTATTATTATCATCACGCCATTACCTGACAAAGTTGCTGGGACATCTGGGACATAATAATATCACGCTTAGGTTAAGTGATATTTCTCAGTGACATATCTTTTAGTGAAAACTCGGTTTTAAAGTTTGTAGAGAAACCATTGTAAAGGCTCTAAATGAATTAACTGTTTTATTAAAAAATGTAGGTATTTCTGCCTATTCTTCAAGCAATAAAAATTATGAAAATCGTGTTTAAAAAATTAATAGCAGCTAGAAGCCAATCAATAAAACTATTGTAAACAAGAAGACAACAGTCTAAATGTTAAAATTCTTCATTCTTCAGTAATGTTGCATGTCTTGTAGCGCAGCGTGTTGCAGCAACGATGTATATGACATAGAGGACGCTAGGACCAATTCTTTTTGGCTTTAAAAAGGATTGGTCCTGGTGTCCCCTAGTCAGTAAGCGGCGTCCATCTTGTAAATGTTATTCTTCTATATCTTCCAAAAATAATGATTAAAACTTGCCTAAAACTACATCAAAAGGTATGAGTTTTGAACATTGAAGAAATTGTTGTCCTGTAGCATGTTGCTGCAACGATGAATGTGACATAGAGGGCGCAAGGACCAATTCTTTTTAGCTTTAAAAAGGATTGGTCCTGGCGCCACCTAATCTGTTAACGACGCCAACTTGTAGCCTAGATAGATGAAGCATGCTTCTGTCCTGAAATTTCATCAGGAATTTCAAGAGTAATGTATGTTTCCTGTCCTGGAATATTAAATAATAATATCTTATATCTAATTAAAAATACACATAAAACAATTACCGAGAGTAATTGACGAAAAATTTTATCATTTCGATTTCATTTTAATTGTTTTTTAACCTACCTAAGTACCTTATACATTTCGAACTTATGTATATTTCTGTTATTGGTCTCAGATTAAATATTTTATATATAAATTATCAGTAACGACTTTTTGTTCCAGAGATAGATAGAATAATCTTCAGTTTTATTGTATACACAGAAGCACACGACATTTATGTTACAGAGTATTATAATATAGTATATAGTTCTTAATATATAATAACACAGCACTTATATCTAAGAAAAAAAGAAAAATAATTTATTTGGCATGAACAATTAGGAAAAAAAAAAGATATGTACAATTATTACTATAAAAAAAAGGTAATCAACAAACTAATACAGCAATGTGTATGTGTATGTGTGTATGTGTAATATCTGTCTTCCTGGTTCTGCAACATTTCAAGTCTTGATACGCAGCATGTTGCAGCAACGATGAATGTGACATAGAGAGCGCGAGGACCAATTCTTTTTAGCTTTAAAAAGGATTGGTCCTGGCGCCACCTAGCTAGTACGGGACGCCAACTTGAGATCTTCATATCTGTAGATATATTACATGAAAAATAGACAGATTAGAAAAATACACATCGAAAACGGTACACACAAAAATAAAAGTAAAAGGACTCTTTTCTCTTTCCTTTACACGATTCGGCAACGTTGAGTGTGACATAGAGGGCACAAGGACCAATTCTTTTTAGCTTTAAAAAGGATTGGTCCTGGCGCCACCTAGTCAATGAAGATCTTCCATCCTACATTATTTTCTGCTGTAAGAATTGAATTGCTGGTTATTTTAAAAATATGTTTATAAGTAAACAATGCGCAGACGCACGACAAGTTGCTGTAGCGATGAGAGTGACATAGCAGATGTTATTACCAATTCTTTTTAACTTTAAAAAGGATTGGTAATGACGTCTTCTAGTCGGCTGGAGCACTTATTACAAGCTGCAAGTAAACGCCAAACACAGCACAGGTTAGAAGAAAACGCACAGATTAAAACATCATGAAAGCAAATATGGTTCTTCAGTCATGTAGTAGAACGTGTTGCTGCAACGTTGAGTGTGACACAGAGGGCGCAAGGACCAATTCTTTTTAGCTTTAAAAAGGATTGGTCCTGGCGCCACCTAGTCACTGAAGGTCTTCCATCTTGTAAGTTTCTCTGGTACAAGGAAATCAATAAAACAGTTCATCTCAATAACATAGGCTTATTAGTTAACACAGCGTAGCGTACACAGAACAAGTTGCAGTAGCGATGAATGTGATTCAGGAGGCGTAACTACCAATTCTTTTTAGCTTTAAAAAGGATTGGTAATGACAACTCCCAATCGGCAGGGTCGGTAATTACGTGGACTTCTTAGCTGCATGATGTATAGATTAGAAAAATACGGCAAAGCAAGCACTAAAACGTTTCTTCAGTCTTGAGTGTAGCGGAGCATGTTGCAGCAACGATGTATGTGACATAGCGGACGCAAGGACCAATTCTTTTTGGCTTTAAAAAGGATTGGTCCTGGCGCCACCTAGTCAATGAGATCTTCTTTGCTGTGAAGAAAATACATCTACAACTATTATTTTACAAAATTTGTCTTGTACATCGGAACTAAATTAAAAATAATAATGTTTTTATAATAACTCATACATTTTACATGTTAAACAAAAATTATTGACATTCCAAATAAGTTATTAACTCGCAATTTATCTTGATTTTACATTTTTTAGCTGCATTTACTTATATTGTTATAAAACATTAACGCATAGTCACATGAGATAAATACAAATCAAGCCGCAGGTTCTTAGAAATAATAAGTGGTTATTTGTTATAATTTTATTGCAATAAAATAAATACAACAATCGCTACAAATATAGGCGTTTTTGAAGATATACAATACGATACATTTGGCATGTTGCAGCAACGGAGATTGTGACATAGCAGACGTTATTACCAATTCTTTTTAACTTTAAAAAGGATTGGTAATGACGTCTCCTAGTCAGCTGGAGCGGCCATCTTGTAAGCTTCTTAGCTGCAGATCAATAACATAGAATAAAATACAGCTCAAAGCAAAGCACAACACAAAAATATCTTCAGTCTCGTATAGTAGTATGTTGTAGCAACGATGAATGCGACATAGAGGGTGCAAGGACCAATTCTTTTTAGCTTTAAAAAGGATTGGTCCTGGCGCCACCTAGTCAGTGGGCTTCTTTATAATCCTGTGTCCAGCTGTAAACATTTTAGTTCTACAAAAGTACTTCTCTCGCAGCTAGATTAAATTCTGTTCAACGATGTATGTGACTTAGAGGGCGCAAGGACCAATTCTTTTTAGCTTTAAAAAGGATTGGTCCTGGCGCCACCTAGTCAGTTATTTTTTCATCTTCATCTTCTAAGCTGCAGTGCTTGAAATGTGTCGACGAACGGTTTTAAATAAAACAGTTGTCAAATGCACATTTTACAGTTGTTGTGCAGTACCAGTCACCCTACATACACAAGGTTAAAAATTAAATATTCTTCGCTTAAATTTCATTCCAAATTGTCATCTTAGTTATAAACTTAATAGGAACATAAGACAGTTGTATTATAACGTGGTACAGCATCGATGAATGTGACATAGAGGGCACAAGGACCAATTCTTTTTAGCTTTAAAAAGGATTGGTCCTGGCGCCACCTAGTCTGTCAGCGGCGCCATTTTAAATTCTTCTTTTTAAAACCTAACTTAACACATCTCATACTGTTTTTAATTTCCTGAAATATAAATTAAAAGTCTTAATACTTACAATTCTATTCTTGTTTCGTCGTGTGTTGCAGCATCGATGAATGTGACATAGAGGGCGCTAGGACCAATTCTTTTTAGCTTTAAAAAGGATTGGTCCTGGCGCCACCTAGCCAGTGAAGGGCGGCAACTTCAGATTTTCTTGGCTGGATCTAAACTGTTGCTTGTTAAGTAAAGGCAAAAACTGTAATAAGTGTAATGTAGGCACATAATTTAGAAAAAAAGTGGTTTACTCAAGTACCTAACTGTATTATGACGAGTAATACAGGTTATAATACACAATAAAAACCTTTATTTAAGTACTCTTAAATACCTACGAAATTTTTTGAAGGCATCTTATTCGACTCATTCTTTATAAGTAAGTAAACGAGACTCATATTCGTGACAAAATTGGTGAAAGGGGGTGTTGTGTTTTATTTGTCGACCTCTTCCTAGCCCTATTTTTGGGGGGAAAGTCATCAAATGACTTCTTCCGCTCGGATGGAGCGAGAGGGAGTGTCATACTCTTATTCATTCTTATTCTTCGCGAGCACCCTTTGCTCAGACTTACGGTTTGCAGAGCGTATCGCGCAGCGCGCGCCGTCTGCAGCTTTAGGAAGATCGTTCTCTCAAGCTTTCTCCCTCTTTTTTTGCAAAAATGACTGCTTTGCAGAAGGAGACAACTACTGAGGATACAGCAATGTTCAATCACCGTGTGCTTCACTTTATTTTCTGGGTTGGTCTTCGCAGAGCCGACAACCGGGCGTTTCCTCTGCCGTCCGAAACTATCGCCTACCTGCGTCGCATAACCAGGCGTCAGGTGGAAGGTGATCGGCGTCATTCTTATCACTCCTCAAACCGACATCTTAGAAGTTGTAACATTAAAACGCTTGATATGTATTGTATTATCAAATTACAGCCTTCAAACCTTCAAGAAACGAGCATAACCTTCTCGAAGAGGTCGGCAACGCCCCTATGACTCCCTGGTTTCGCTGATGTTAATGGGAAGCGCTGACCACTTACCGACTGTGTTCTTTTGGCTCGTTTGCCTCCTATTCCGTAGTAAAAGAAGCTAGTTTCTTTTATGTAATAGGACGGAGAAACGAGTATACGGATTACCTGATGGTAAGCAATTAGCATCGCCCTTGGACACCCGCAACAACGCAGGATTTACGAGCACGTTACCTACCTTTTGGGGATTAAGGTTTTGGAGATTTAAGGATTGAGGAGAGTGGGAGGGATTTGGACTCCAATAACCTTACTCACACGTTGAAACACGCTGTGGTTGTTTCACACCGATTTTCTGTGAGGCCGTGGTATCACTCCGGTCGAGCCGACCCATTCGTGCCGTAAAATGGCTCTTCTTGACTTAAAAATTCTCACAGGTACCGTATCTAGCTAATATAGTTATTACCTACATACAAATATGTCGAAGCGAGATTAATAATCAAAGATGTAAAAGTTCCCACACTATTACATTCTAGAAATATTATTCTTATTACAACGCGACGTGCGTCCAGCTCGCAACCCGACCAGCCCGGGACTGCTTTACGTTGGCAGAATTGCAACGTACAAGTGCATCGATTCTGAAATGGCGCGCGCCGCCTAGCCTCCGATCGATAGTTCGAACATGGGCTTCCTTGTAGTGCAGCTATGCATATTTTATGCAGAGAACCTACTGATTACGCAATTACGTACTAATATGCCTTTGATGTTTTTTTTTTGGACGTACGGAGCACTAAGTATACCTACTGAAAATTTTTTAATGAAAGCAAATATTCTCTATAAGTATATAAAAATCAATGCCACTGTTCATTGTATTTGTAAAGTTATAACTCAACAATGCCTTTACCGATTTTGGAATAAATCTTGAATTATTCGAGGAAGTCCATAGAAGATTTGTACGTAGAAAAATTAAAAAAATAATCTTGAAAAAGTGTAAAATCGACATCTACGCATGCGGAGCTGCGGGTGACCCCTAGTTATTTATAAAGAAAGCTTTATGTAGACAAACATACTACAAACTAAATGATTATACAGAAGATAAAAATGCTTGGAGGCTAGCTGGTCCTTTTCAATTTTCATCGTGTACGAATTTCAATTATTAAATTGTTCACCATGTCGTTAATTGTTGATGAACTTACAGGTTTTTGTAAATGTGAGTGCCCTGTAACCTATTATGATCAAGTTAGACTTGTAGAATATAGGTACTTGTGTCAGCTGGGAGTTGTCATGCTCACTCAGTGGTCTCATTGGCGGTGGCAGGGGCACTGGATGAAACAACGACTGTCGCAACCCAGGGCCGGGCACGCTACCATAGCAGCGGTAAGACCCCTCTTTGAGGAGTGGCTTGAGAGACGCCACGGCGTCCTCACCTTCCGTCTGACGCAGGTGCTTACCGGGCACGGCAGCTTCGGTAGGTTCCTGTTTCGGATTCAGCGGGAGGAAACGCCCCGAGATGTACGTCATTTGAGGACCACCTAGAGGATACGGTGGAGCATACGGTAGCGGTATGCCCTGCCTGGGCTGAGCACCGCCGTATCCTCAGGGAAGTGATCGGCGGCGGCGACCTCTCGCGCCCGGCCTTAGTCGAGGCCATGGTGCGGAGTGAGAGGAACTGGGACGCCGTCTCCTCCTTTTGTGAAGCAGTCATGCTCGCAAAGAGAGAGGCGGCCCGCGTGAGGGAGCAATCCTCCTCCTCACGCCCCAGCAGCCGCAACTGGCGACACTACGGGCGTCGGGGATCGAGGGACGATCTCCGGCCACCGTAAGTACGGGCCTGCGGTCGGCGAGTAAGGGCAGCTCGCCGCCCGCCCAGAACCAGGCCCGAGCGTACGGCGCGTAGCGTTCCGCGCGCGCCTCAAAGAGCCATTCGATCACCACAGACGGGGCCCTAAAGGGCTGATGTTCAGCCGGGGTTGCGGGGTAAGCGCAATGAGGTACCGCGACCTCGGCACAGAGCAGGAGAAGGAACAGGGGGGTTTTTAGTCAGTAAGAGTCTGACACTCCCTCCTGCCCAGCCCTGGGCGGGAGAAGTCATTTGATGATTTTCCCCTCACAAAAAAAAAGGGGCACTGGATCTCTCGATTCCCGATAATATGGTTGAGTTGGGCGATGCCGGTGAACGGGCGCCGTGAATTGTGACTGGTCAACTCGAGACTGGCTAAAGGTGTTGTCCTTGGGGTTAATTCCTATTTGGATTATTTGGCTTAATATTAGTGTTACGCTGTTCACCAACAAGATCGCCTGATGGTAAGTGATATGTGCCGCTCCTGCACACCAAGGAGAATGCTCGTTCCTTGAAGGTTTGAAGGTCGTATCGGAAGTACCACTGCCGAAAGTCAAGTTCAAGTACTTATTTGAAATCCCTTCCTTAGCAAAAATGCACTTGCCAGTAAAAAATATGGGTAAATAACCTTTTATTAAAAATGTATAAATCTTTTGCAGCTTAATTAATTAAACAACGTAAATTGAGCAATCCCGTAGTGCCCAAACGCCAGAATGTACAATCAGTGACGTCGTCCCTTGCTTCTGGTGCGTTAGAAAAACTTAAAGTCGCCTAGCGATACTTGAAGCTTCTTTGCGCTACAAAATTCGAAATGTGGAAATTCACCAAAGAATTGGAGTTACCGACATAGCTTTTAAAATCTGAAAGCTGGAATGGCAATGGTTAGGCCGCATCGCTCAAAAACAGAGTTGGCCCTCTGTCTGGGTTATAAAAGTGCTCGAATGGCTACCAAGGACTCCAAGACGTAGCGTGGGCAGACCTTTTGCTAGGTAAACGTCAAGGGGAGCCAACAGATAGCCGGGGCTGCGGGGTAAGCGCAATGAGGCACGGCGACCTCGGCCCAGATCAGGAGAAGGAACGGGGGGGTTTTTAGTCAGTAAGAGTCTGACACTGTCTCTCGCCTTACCCTGGGCGGGAGAAGTCATTTCATGAAGGATTTTCCCCTGACAAAAAAAAAGAGGAGCCAACGGATGCTTGTGGCGAAATGTTCTTCGACGTAGAGAACTGAGAGGGAGATCTTTATCCAGGAGTGAAGGTGACACGGCTGATAATGATGATTAAATTGGAAAATTGACAACCAATGAAAATCAATATTCCACGGCTTGTGTATATTCGAGTCGAATCCTGATTTTCCTATTTATTTCGTAATGGCGTGGGTATTTATTTTAATAAGACCTTTGAATATTAGGTAAGCATATCGTTATAGCAAACAATAAAACTATAATATTGTAGCGAGGCGAAAAAATATATTATTTCCGACTTCGTTTTCTTTGTGTACAGGGGAAGATAATGTACTTACTTACCTGCTTACAGCGGCCGGTATTTAAAAAGACTCTCGCAAAAAGCTATGTTTTAAAAACAATAAAGTAGGTACAAGTAATAAAAATGCTTTTGAATATTGATGATATTCTTTAATTTCATAAATAATTTTGCATGTTTAAACTAGCCTAACATTTAATTATTAAAAGAAAGACAACCCACAGTAAGGAATGAAGTAGGTATATGACGATGTAAGTACTTATCAAAAGAAAACGAAATGTAATAAAACTGAAGATTATTTATTTAACACAATCATGTTATGGATATCTCTGGAACAAAACATTCTCTGTTTGTTTTTACAGTCCTACTTTTCACTGACATTTTTTTATCGAGAAACACATTCGTTGAAACCATGATCAACACACTTTACAAGGTTAAAACATCACATAAAATACAATAAATTCAGATAATGACAGTCTGAGATCTGTTTTATACCAAAACTTCGAACATACCTAGTTTACACAAAAATAAATAAAAACAAAATTAATTTGGCGGCAAAAAAAAAACAATCCAACAACATTCACATCACATAAAACATAGACAAATAATAAAGTTTTTTTTCCCGCATAAATCGGATAGCTTACAATTGAAACATATTCATGTTAAAAAAAGTGTTTTAATATTGAAATAGTATATAATAGGTGTTCGTTTGTATATAGGTCACTGCATAACTGCAATGCAGTGCGTCAATATTGATCTAGTGTTCTAGATTCTAGAAAACTTGTGACCTATTTAGCTAAATGAGTATTTAATGTAAACAATAAACTTACCTTGGCCAAGCCGCAGCACGAACAGCATTGTACATGTCAGAAACAAATTGCCAAAACCAAAAATAAATATTAAAAACACAAGTGTCCAAAACGCGAATGTCTTTCTATTTTTATTGACTGATTTAGGAACATCATTGCCATTTTTATCTGAATAATTTTTAACTCCAGAATTCTTGAAGAACTGGCAATGAGTTGGTGTTTTATTTGTTACAATTAAAGCTTTTTCTGCGCGATTTCTTTCTAATGTTCCTTCCGACATCGTTTCGGAATTTAGCAGCACAGCTGACGAACTGCGTAAATTAATAGGATCTAACACCATCACACATAATAGTTAAAAACCACCAGTTTTCACAGATTTCAGTCGGACATTGGAAATTATAAATAGCTCTCACAGAACTGAAACGACTGAACATTAATTTTTCAGGACGTCAATCAAATTATTGAACGCACAGAAGACCTTCCCATTGCCCAGTTTCTCAACCAATGGGAAGGCCGCGTTTGCTATTTCGATCAATATCTTCAAGGTGGTTGAAATGGCAAAACGAGGCTTTTCAGATTATTAAATAAAAGCAGTGTCTACATACAAATTAATATTTATAAATAAATGGTGCTAACAATATTTATAAAGTCAAACATCTGTGTTAAAAACTATTTTGTTATTAATACTTCAGGTGTGCAGCTAGAAATATTTCCGTGAGGCTATCCGAGCGTAGATGACAACTTTGACAATTCACAATGCTGACAACATGACAGCGCAAATTTTTGACAATCTGCTTTGTAATCATGGCGTCCGAACGTTACAGTTTCTCTCTCACCACTTTTAGGTAAAAAAATAATTTATTTACGTGATTTTGTGCAGTAAAATACTTAAAATCGTCATCACCAATAATATTTTTATAGATAAAATATAAATAACCGTTAAGTTTTATAGTATTTTCAAAGTTTTTAGTGTTTTAATCCCTCTGTGTTTGTTCTTGTAATTGCAATAGTAATTGTTATTTTTCCACAGCCCTTCAGGGAAATTAGTCCAAATCGAATATGCTTTAGCTGCTGTAGCCGCTGGCGGGACGTCCGTCGGTATCAAAGGTAAGTTTTGTTTATATAAGAGGTTATATTAGCGTCTTCGAATTATGCTTGATCATTACGAAAAAAAAACAAATATTTTCTCGTCTGCCCTCCCATTCCAATATATAAGACTTCAACTAACAGTAACAGTTCTTGTTAAACCAACTACATATTTATTAAAACGGTAAAACATTATTTATATTCGAAATATATTGACTTTCATCTTTGCTTTCTTCCAGCATCCAATGGCGTAGTGATTGCCACAGAAAACAAGCATAAGAGCATTCTGTACGATGAGCACAGCGTCAATAAGGTGGAAATGATCACTGGTCACATCGGTGAGTCTGAAATACCATGAAATATTTCTTATTAGATAGATATAACTCTGCAAGGTTGACTCAGGGGAGAAAAAACTGCCTTGTAATGTGATTAACACATTCAGTGCCCCCGACGCGTATGTGCGTTCTATACATTAATGTATTGAACGCACAGGTGCGTCGAGGGCACTGAATGTGTTAACATACATTTAAAAAAAGGAACAACTATAAATTTGTCACTGTAGACATGTACAACCCAGTATGAGAAAATCTTTTTTATTTGTTTAGCATTTATACATAACTAGCTAACCCATTGCTGGCAGCAATGCGGATGCTAAATATCTCCACTGACTACAAAACATTGAAAAACTGCATCAAAATCCATTCATCATCATCAGCCTATAAATGCCCACTGCTGAGCAAAGGCCTCTTCTCACACAGAGAAGGTTTTGAGCATTAATCACCATGCTTGCTCAATGCGGGTTGGTAGTTTCAGACTTATAATCAGAAATTATCAGGTTTCCTCACGATGTTTACCTTCACCGTATGTCAGTGGTGTCTAAATAATCATAGAAAGTACATATAACTCGGAAAAAGTCACATTGGTACTTGCCAGGTTTCGAACCCACACCCTCTTGCATGAGAAGCGGGCTCCTTAACCTCCGGGCCACCACGACGCGACGCACATCATCCATTGCATAGATTTAAAGATTTAAGCATACATAAGGAACAGAGAAAGTGACTTTGTATTATAGTATGTAGTGATAAAACAGAATTTTAAAAACTTTACCAAAAATCAAAGATGTTATTTGTCCTATGATGTGAACTCATTATGTCATTATGTCACATAATGAGTTTTATTGTTGATTACAATGATAATAATATATCTTACAAAGAAATTACAGCCACAGCTTCTATTCCCTTGCAGAATAAATCTTTATGTGGCCCAAATGTGTCCAATGTAACCCAGGAGAAAATCCTAGAGCTGAGCAACATTTAATTTTTAAAGAAAAGAAAAATGATATTCTTAATTAAAAAAGAAATGAAGATTATTATACATATAGTAAAATACAAGATTTATAAAGTGTAGCCTAGTCTGAAATTGCTACAAGAAAATATCATGTGGAAACCTGTGCTTTTAAATTCTTGTTATAGTCATAAGCTTGAAATAATAAACTGCACAGTTGTCCCGGGATTTGTTTCCAGCATGGAACAACACTTTATGTGATGCACCTGTGGTTTTTCTGGGTCTGGGTGTGATGTGTATGTGAAAATGTCAATGCGCCACGTCATAGGAGAAAGTCCTAGGACTGGACAATGTTTTTAAAAATAAAAGAAGATCGAAAAATATAAGCCGCCTTGAGCTAGTGTAGTGGTTAATAATGCTCATACCTTCATCTTGTAAGGAGAGGCAAATACTCTCTCAAAGTCTAAGCAAAGGCTCAACATTGCGTTTTCAAAAAGCTAGAAATCAGTCACATTCTATATTAGAAAGAATATTAATCCTCAAACAATGTTCTTGACCAATGACAGTCCAAAAATTTTATTAAAACTTTATGCTCTAAAATAGTTTAGCTAAATTACGCTTGTTTTGTTTTAATCATACACTCTAGGCAGAGTGGTTGTAATCATAGTATGTCCTTTGGTGGCTGCCTTGGCGATTTCTCTCCAATTTTTTCTGCACTACAGTATTGAGCTGGATGTCACTGTTTTTATAAGGTCTGTCGATGGGTCTGGAATGAGTTGGATCGACTGGAGTGACCGACCACGGCCTCACAGAAACCCGGCATAAAACAACCACAGCGTTGTGTTTCGCCGTGTGCCCCTCCCCCGATCCCTCCCCAATCCCTAAAAGGTCGGCAACGCACTCGTTACTCCTCCGTTGCGAGTGTCCATGGGCGGCGTGATTGCTTACCATCATCATCAGGTACCATCAGGTAATCCGTCTGCTCGTTTGCCGACCTATTACATAAAACAAAAACTATCTAGTTGATCCGACCACAAGGATGCTGTCCCTGCCTTGCACCATCAAACGTTAAGCTAAAATACAGTTTCACATTAATTTCCAGGTATGGTTTACTCCGGTATGGGACCTGACTACCGTCTCCTGGTCACCCAGGCCCGGAAGATGGCTCAGCAGTATTTCTTGATGTACCACGAGCCCATTCCTACTGCTCAGCTTGTGCAGCGGGTAGCTACTGTCATGCAGGAGTATACTCAGTCTGGGTGAGTTTTATTCGCAAAATTTATTATTATGGCATAGGAAAATTAGCTTGTGGACCACCTGATTGTAAGCAATCGTGGTTGGTAAGTAATAGTAAAGGTAGACTGGACAATATCTACAGGGGGCTGGCAGTGATTGGATGAGAAGAGCTGAACATCGAGTTCTGTGGCAATGCAATTCGGGAGGCCTACCTATGTCCAGCAGTATACGAACACCTTTAGAGTTTCAAGTGTGGTTTGTGAATAAGAGGATATTCAAGGACCAATCCTTAGTTATGTCAGTGACCTCTGTAACCTCACTGAGATAACTTGTTTCATGTCGGTTTTTTGCAAGACCGTGGTATCAATCCGATCCATTTGTGCCGAAGCTTGGTTCTCCCACCCTTTTTTGGCATGGGCAGTGTACAACCAGACATATAACCTGATGGCAAGCTATCAGCACTGTCCATGGAATTGACAAGTAGGACAAACGAGTTGCATGGCCTTTTGGAGTTATGGCTTTGGGGATCTCCTGTCGAACTGTAATAGCTAGACGTACACATTTGGAAAGATGATGTATTTCTGTAGTTTCTGCAACATGAATCTCTCTGTTTGCCTTATTTTGCTGTGCCCTACAGGGTCCATAATTGATGTCACACAAATTGTGACCACCTTTAAATGTACTTATGGAAAAGCAATAAAGATATTGTGTATGGAATACTAGATACATAATAAAAATAATATTTAATAGGCGCACCTATAGAACATGAACAATGTGACATTGCTACGGAATCCTTATGCTTGGGCCACACTAACGGGAAATGCCATAAATTATAAATGAATAAATAAATAAATTATCGCGATAATGGACGTTAATCGTTGGTGTAATTTGATCAGTGTAGTAAGTGTGGGAGAGCCGTGCTTCGGCACGAATGGGTCGGCTCGACCGGAGTGATACCACGACCTCAAAGAAAACTGGCGTGAAACAACCACAGCGTTGTGTTTTGCCGTGTAAGTGAGGTTACCGGAGGCCCAATCCTTCCCCTCCCCCGATCCGTCTTTAATCCCTAAATCTCCAAATTCGTAATCCCTAAACGGTCGGCAACGCACTCGTAACTCCTCCGTTGCGGGTGTCCATGGGCGGCGGTGATTGCTTACCATCAGGTAATCCGTCTGCTCGTTTGCCGACCTATTACTAAAAAAAAAATCACTAAACAAATGATTTAAGGTATATTTTTCATTGTTAATATCATCAATTATCACGTTAATCATTGGCATTTCCCGTTAGTGTCGCCCAAGCATTACTGAATCTTTCCACATACTAATGATAAAATTTTCTTCCACAGTGGTGTCCGTCCCTTCGGTGTCTCACTCCTGATCTGTGGCTGGGACAACGACAGACCGTACCTGTTCCAGTGTGATCCCTCCGGAGCCTACTTTGCTTGGAAAGCAACCGCTATGGGCAAGAATTATAACAATGGCAAGACTTTCTTAGAAAAGAGGTATGTTTTTTTATTTATATGATTTTCTCCTGTGTTGTGGGTCTGTTTACATACATACAATGTCACATACACATGACACCCAGACCCGAAACAACAATTTGTGGATCACACAAAGTGTTGTTCCGTGCGAGAATGGAACCCGCGACACGTTGCGCGGCAGCCAGTTGCCCAGCCACCGCACCAACCGTGCAGTCAAAATGGTCAAAGTCAGGATGGTTCTCAATTCGACCGTATCTAAGCTTTTTTATCTATATGATTTTATCCTGTGTTGTGGGTCTGTTTATAAACATACAATTTCAAATACACATCACAACCAGACCCGGAACAGCAATTTGTGCCATGAAAGTGTAATTATTATTTAATATTTGATCGCAAAAATATATAACGGTTTTTTTTACGGTCTTAAGGTCGGCAAAAGACCAGGCGGAATACCTGATGGTAAGCAGTCGGCGCTGCCGAGTGCGTTGCCGCACTTTTTAGGCATAAGATTTTGGAGATATGGGAATTAGGGAGGGGAGGGCATGGATTGGGTGTACGGCAACCTCACTCACACGGCGAAACACAACGCTGTGGTTGTGGTGTCAATCCAGTCAAGCTGTCTCATTCACAAAAATCTTATTTCACAGATACACAGAGGAATTGGAACTCGATGATGCAGTGCACACAGCGATCCTCACTCTCAAAGAAGGTTTCGAAGGTCAGATGACAGCAGACAATATAGAAGTTGGCATCTGCGATGCTAGCGGCTTCAGACGGCTGGAACCCGCTCACGTTAAAGATTATTTGGCTAACATCCCCTAATATACCAATCTATTGTAACTTACTGAATTATAAAAATGTTTTTTAATAATAATCTTGGTGTTTTTGTTTCTGTGGTCTCCCTAAAGTTGATTGTCATTATTTAAACTATAAACCGCGGGTGCTTAGAGTCAAATAATGGCGTTCGCTGATTAACCTTAACTTTTTAAACTGCTAATTTAAGTCTCGTTTTTGTGGAGCCAAAATCGTCCATTGTTTGCCCCCGGGTTTTGGGAGGGGCAAGGTAAGGTTACCCCTCTAAAAAAATCGAAATGAGTAAAGTAATAAAGGGCCCTCTTTGGAAATTTTAACTTTTCCCAACTAATTAACGCCATCTATTAGAAACTCTTGGAACTACTTAAAATGTTTGTCCAAGATTTGTGTTAAGTAAACTAAAATTCTCTTCTAAAAACCAGATGTCGTTAGTAGTAGGAAAATACACATAATCTGTCTTATAAAAATAATGCTGATTTACAATATCTTGAGGACCTATGGAAGAAAATACACACATCACATCATCAGCCTATATTAAAGACCTCTTTTCAGACGAAGAAGGTTGCGGGGTGTCTTTTGTTACCGCGGCCTCGGGCCTCGGCCCAAAACAAAAGAAGGAACGGGGGTTTTTTCGTCAGTGGGAGTCGCCTTACCCTGGGCGGGAGAAGTCATTTGATGATATTTTCCCCTGACAAAAAAAATACAAAGAAGGTTTGAGGATCAATCACCACGCTTGCTCAAGGGGGATTGGCGATTTCAAACTTAAAATTAGAAATTATAATTCCAGGTTTCCTTACGATGTTTTTCTTCACCGTATTTCAGGGGTGTTTAAATAATCATAGAGAGTAAGTTCATGTAAGTAGGTATAACTCGCAAAAAGTCACACGCATCGGAATCATCGTCATACATGAGAAGCGGGCTCCTTAACCTCCGGGCGACTACCATCTATGTACTAAAACTGTAATTGGCGTAGGGAATTGACGACCCCACCGCCCACTAGTGGTTTATATCACTAGTGCAGTCAGTCCATGGATGATCCACCATATGTCAAGTCCCTACCGGTGTTAGGAGGCGAGCAGTGTCGATAGACAAACACATCCGGCTTCTACAGCGGCGGGGCAAGGCAAAGGGGAAGTGCCTCAAAGGGCGCACGTCTGTATCCTTTTAGTGACGTGCGGCCAAACTCCTGCGGCCTCTACCTTCTGCCGGTCGTACCGGCTATCCGGTCCATCGGCATCAGGAGGTTGAGGAGGAGAGAGTGGACTTGTACCTGCGCAACTGCTCGTTCACTATAATATATTCACGCGTAGATGACTCCTGCATGTCAATTTGACATACGAGCGCAAGTCCTACGGCGATGGTGAGCTGATGGTGGGGGGAGGATATGGTGTGTCCGAACCTTAGTTAGCAGCTGCACGTAGGCGGTCTTCTGGTGATGGTCGCTCCATGTCCCGCTTGAGACGGGGGACTGGTTCGGCAGCTCAGTTGACGACAAAGCAGCCCTATTCAGGGAGCGCTCTGCTTTCCTCAATCTGGGGAGGGGCCTAGAAAAGGTGGCCTAAACATAGTCTGTCTCTTCTATAAAAGAGGTGGTAAACCGCGGCCACCTATCGCCAACTAAATGCGGTCGAAAAAAGAATCAAATAAGTTCTCAAAAAGACCTGAGTATAGGAACATGGAATGTTCGTACTCTTCTGGACAACGCTTTGAACCTATGTCCAGAAAGAAAGACAGCTTTGATTGCAAGAGAACTGGCCAGATACAACATAGATATTGCTGCAATTAGCGAGACACATCTCAGCGACTCTGGTGAGTTATGTGAGCGGCTTGGAGTTACACATTCTATTGGAGAGGAAAACCAAGTTCTGAGAGGGCCGCAAGTGGAGTAGGGTTTGCAATTAAAAACCAGCTGGTGCAAACTTTACTGGAGCTACCAAAGGGTATCAATGATAGAATAATTACACTGAGGCTTCAACTACCATCAAAGAAGTATATTCACCTAATCAGTGTATATGCCCCCACTTTGCCATCTCCAGACAAAGAGAAAGCCAAGTTCTATTTCGAACTTAAGCAAGTTCTTAATAAAATTCCTACTGCTGACAGAATTCTTCTGCTCTTAATCTGCAATGAACAACTAGCAGAGGAACTAGATGATGCTTTTTGTGCTGATATGCCAGACATCACAGAAGATGCGTCTATCGACGAGAGATGGCGTTCATTCGCCCAGCACCTCCTTAGCTGTGCTTTGCAAGTTATTGGGAAACCGGAGCGGAGAAACCAGGATTGGTTCGACGATTCCGACGCGGAAATTAAGATACTAGTGGAGAATTACAGACGCACTCTTCTCTTACCAGATGTTGCTGAACGGCGAAAAGCTCATCTTAGTCTCAAGAGGAGAGTACGCGCTCTCAGGGACAAATGGTGGGTGGAAAAAGCGAGTGAAATACAGCTTTATGCTGATACCAATCAAAGTGGTAGATTTTTTGAGAGTCTCAAGACTGTTTTCGGTTCACGAACTTTGAAGACGGCTCCATTGTACAATAAGGAGAGAACTCAACGTCTCACTGACCAAAAAGATATTCTAGCTCGTTGGGCAGAACATTTCAACGACGTTCTGAATCCCAGTAGTCAGACCGCCGACCTGTTGTACATAGAGTCTATTGAAAGTCTACCGACTGCTGAAGATCTAGTAGAACCACCAACCTTTGTAGAATTTGTAGTTGCGCTACGGAGAATGAAGAACGCTAAGACACCTGGGATAGATAGCCTACCGTCTGAGCTGTACAAGTATGGCGGCAAACACATTAATAACAGGTTATATGATCTCATCTCGCTAATATGGGAGTGTGAAGTCGTCCCGCAAGAGTGGAGAGATGCCTCCATTTGTAAATTGTACAAAGGTAAAGGTGACATAGCCGATTGCAGTTCGTACAGAGGCATTTCCCTTCTCTCAGCGGCTGGGAAGATTTTAGCCCACGTCATTAACACCCGTCTATCCCGACACGCGGAAACTATCCTCCCGGAAACCCAATGTGTATTTCGTCCGGGGAGAGGTACGGTAGATGCCATATTTGTCGTAAAGCAAATTCAGGAAAAAAGCCTGGAGCAACATCGTCCTCTCTACATGTGCTTTGTCGACCTAGAAAAAGCTTTCGACAGAGTGCCGCGTGAAGCCTTGTGGATTGTGCTCAAGAAAGCCGGCTGTCCTGAAAAGTTAATCAACTTGATACGCCAATTCCATAACAATATGATGGCAAGAGTTCGACATGGAAATGACTTTTCAGACGAATTCTCAGTAACCAGCGGCGTAAAACAGGGCTGTGTCCTGGCTCCTACTTTGTTCTCTTTGTACTTTGCCTCTGTGATGCTTGATGCTGCAAGAACCTGCAATGGGCAAATAAACATCAATTCCAGAACGGATAAGAGCATTTTTGATCTCTCCCGCCTTAGATCTAAGCGTCAGGTAACCAAACTTCCAATCTTGGATATCCTGTACGCTGACGATGTTGCTCTCATGGCCGATTCTATTGAATCCCTCCAAAGTTTTGAGACCTCTCTAAGTAATTCATGCCGCAGATTTGGCCTGGTTATAAGCACCAGCAAGACTCAAATCTTGAAACAACCACCCAGAGGAAGCCATGCTGATCCGTCCAATGTCACTTTGGAAGGCACTGCGCTGGAGGAAGTTTCGAATTTTAAGTACTTGGGTACTCGTATTCGAGATGATAATACCTTGGCATCGGAGTTACCAGCTCGGATAGCAGGTGCGGCGGCAGCCTTTGGGAAACTTAAGGCACGTGTTTGGAACTCACACGATCTTAAGCTGCAAACTAAGATTTTAGTCTACAAAGCGATCGTCTTGCCCACTTTACTGTATGCCGCGGAGACTTGGTGCTGCTATAAGGCAGATGTCTTAGATCTATTCTACGCGTCAAGTGGCAAGACCGTGTTCCAAACACGGAAGTGTTACGTCGTGCTGGTTTGTCCGGGATGGAGGCACTCATCATGAAACACCAGCTGAGATGGTGTGGGCACGTCTTGCGAATGGATGACAGCAGGATGCCAAAAGCCGTTTTCTATTCCGAGCTTTCTAGCGGGAAACGAAAAAAGGGTGGGCAATATCTGCGTTACAAAGACGTGCTTAAACGCAATCTTGTGGCTTGTGACATTCCACCAGATAGTTGGGAGGATTGCGCTCGCGTTAGACCGGAATGGCGTCATACTGTTCACAAAAATGTGGATTTGTACGAGAACATGCGTTTACAAGATCTAGACGCCAAACGCCAAACACGGAAGACCCGACCAAAGCCCTCCTACAACTACACAGTTAATTCTGATGGTCAGTTATTTTGTGTGCCATGTAGCCGGTGTACCTTTAGATCGAAGTTCGGTTTTGAACATTAGAGCCTATCATAACAACGACCCGGGTTAGACATTTAGGAGTCGCCGTCGCCGGATACGGCTTGGACGACATGCTGATGATGATGATGACTAAAACTGTACCATTATGTTGTATAAAAAATAAAATATCACATAATCAGGATCGTATCTGATTAACATTGGCGGTTTATGAGTTAAGTAAGTAGGCATGTTGAAATATGTTTATTTAGATAAAATCTACAGATAACGCAAGAAAAACTTGGCAAGATTCATTTTCCTGTAGGTAGTCATGATATCATTATGAAAAAATGATCGTGTTTAGTTTTCAGTTTTCTTCATTTCTAATCGTTCCCGCCTTTTTATCATAGGTTATCTGTGGTCGGCACGATATGCCTTCTTTCATTTTCTCCTATCAAACTCATAGTCTACAGTCACAAACTTTTGGGAGAGCCATGCTTCGGCACGAATGGGTCGGCTCGACCGTAGTGAGACCACGGCCTCACAGAAAACTGGCGTGAAACAACCACAGCGTTGTGTTTCGCCGTGTGAGCGAGGTTACCGGATGAGCAATTTTTCTTGCCCAGTCCTAAAAAACCCACAACTCTTTTGATGCTGTTGTGTGTGTCCATAGGCGGCGTCGATTGCTTACCATCAG